AATATTTCATTCAACACGCGCATGCGTAAAGCATACATTACGCACAGTCGAAATTAGAAAATTGCAACCAGAAAACTACTTCTACGTCGCTTTCGTCTCTAATATTTGTATTGTAACATGAGAACTACAATATATCTGGATGGTCTTGAAAAATACGCATTACTTCTCAATACTTATGAACATCCTTTACTCTGTATCATGGTAATCAAGCAACAGTCGCTGCCATACAGCATGCCACCCTACCAGGAGCGCTGCTTATTACACAACGATCTCGTGTTTGTCAAATGCTAATAATTTCTCATTTGTTAGTCTGTGACTGTAAATATTATGGGCGGATGCTCCAGTTTATATGTCTTATTTTGAGAGTTGCGAGTGTTTTCTGTACGTTCCTCTTTTTATCTATTGAGTTTGTTTGTATGCTTAACATGCCCCTGAAATTTTCACTGCTGTTGTCGTAAGACGGTCGGTCTGATAAAATCCTCCGCTTATTTAATTTTAGTTGAATTCAAATGAATTATACTTCCTTCTATCTCTACATATAATAAAAGAAAGAAAGTGTGTGTGTGTGTGTCTTTTGTTCGCGCTGCGCGTAAGCTAATAGACCCACGGCTACGAAATTTGGTACATAGGTGCATCTAGACAAGAGCCAGTGCTCCTCGAAGCCGATTTTTGGAAATTCGAATTAGAATTTTTTTTTATTTTATGTTTTGTGACGAAATCGCGTCATTTTGAGATATAAATGGCTATAGGAAAGCGAGATTTTACTCTACGCACTCCATTTTCATATCGACATGAACGTAGGCACTTAGCTATTTTCGAACTTAAAATAAATTCGTGTTCAATAAATTGATTCAAACGAATTTATCTAACAAAGAGAGCTTAACACCGTTCCAACGGGATGATGTTTTCTAAAAAAGTTTTATTTTAAAATGTACAGTTTATTTTTCTTTCATTTTTGGACATGTTAAACTTTCATCCTTGCGACTTCTTTACAAAAGAATTTGGAAAAATGATAATATTTTGTATTAAAAAAATTTTTTTGAAAAATGTACAGTTATTTTCTTTGATTTTTGGATACCTTAAAGTTTCATCCTTGCGACTTCTTTACAAAAGAATTTTGGAAAAATTAATATTTTGTATTAAAAAAAAAATTTTAAATGAAGCTTCCGAGTACATTCTCACATCTCACATCTTTAAAAATGTGATTTTCGCAACAATTTTCCCTGTCTTATTGTTTTGATAGATTTTTGATGAAATCGCATCATTTGAATAGTTTCATTCTTTTAGAAATATGGGTTTGGCAACAATTTTTCATATCGTCATGAAACGTATTTCTTATGTCATTGTTTTTAGGAGATTGGCATATTTCATTGTCATTTTTATATACATATAATACATTTTTATTGATTTTTTTTTCTTTTTGGATAATGTTGTTCTGCAGAGTAAAATTCTGCGCGGAATTTTATGGTTTTTGAATTGCTTTCATGTTATTTTTTGCTTATTTCACTGTTTGTAAGATATTGAAAAGTTTTGTATGATTTTTTTCTTCAACGGAAAGTTGGTTAATTTTTTATTAGGATAATTAATATTTGTATTTAGGGATATAGCTTATTTCATTGTAATTTTTTCTCTGAAAATATAAGATAAAATATCATTAATTATACTTTGCTTTTTAGAATTTTTTGTTTTTTGCATTCTTTTATGCTATTTATTACTCATTTCACTGTTTTTAAGATATTGAAAAGTTTTGAGTGATTTTTTTTAGGAAACAAAGTTCTTTACCTCCTTTATACCATTTGAGTTCTTAAGATTTTGCGAAGGGAAGTTGGTTAATTTATTTATTAGGATAATTAATATTTGCATTAAGGAATATTGCTTATTTCGTTGTAATTTTGCTATACGTAGAAACTTTTTTTTTATGAAGCTGTTCTGCAGAGTTTCTACGCAGTTTTTAAATTTAACGTTTGGTGTTCCCTTCAGCCATTTTCCCGGTATATTTAAAAGCCAGACCAAGGCTGGCAGCAAAGCTGTTAGTAACCAAATAAAAATATCTTTTTTAATTTAATGTAATAAAAAACTATACTATGTATTTATTTAAGAAATTTCTTTTCCTTTAATCTTTTATACGCGAAACATTAGCCAAGTGAAACTTCGTTCATTACAATCAGAGATATAACAAACTGTGTGAAATTCAGAAATCTTATGCGCAACTTCCATATTTTGGCGAGCTATTACAATTCTTTCTTGCATTTGCAAATCAGTTTGTGCTAATGTATACAAGATGTTTCTTGAACGACTGGTCATTAACTCACAATTTTAAGAAGTGAACGAAATAAAGTAAGTTATCAGATAACAAAATTTTTGTTACATGACACCTTTCAGTGAAAAGAACGGAGTTTATATTTTTATACGACTCTTATACGAAAACATTGGAATTCATATACAATAAACATATTGCTGAGGCAAGATGGCAGCTCTGATTGGTACAGTGGTTAGTGCTGCGTCGTTGGCCACGGGTTCGTAAAGCAGAATAGTTTTTATTTGTAGTGTCTGGGCAGTATGGGGGTAATCAAAATGCACACAGCGAGCGGAAAGTGCTCTCGAGTGGTTAGCGGCAGACGAAGAGGAATAGGAGTAACTGTACTACTATCTGTCTTATCGTTCCTGTGCATTTCGTAACAATATGTTGACAACTGATATAGCAAGACTTGTTTCTAAAAAAGTTCGATTGATTCTAGTTTTTGGTTGATACCCTTCCAAATATGGAAAGTGAAAAGCAGCCTTTTCGGCATCTTTTACTTTTTTACTATCGAAAAGGTAAAAATGCTGTTCAAGCAAGAAACTATTATCGGATGTGTGTGGGGAAAATGTATTAACAGAACGCCAGTGCCAAAACTGGTTTGCAAAATTTCGATCTTGAATATCCACCATGTTCTGGAATGCCAGTTAAAGCTGATGGAGAGCTTAAGAACATGAAGAAGACTTATGTCAAGCTCTGAGATTAACCTTCCAGCACGCGTGTACGCGCAAAATTGACGACAAACTCAGTTTTTAATGCACATTTTGCACATACCGAAGCTCAGATGTCAGAATGTCATTTCTATTCCTCCTTTCTACCCTTCCCCACATCATAGAATGTACCAACAGGAAGTCATTTGACTTTTTTTTTTAACTAAGCTTTTGTGCTACGTGGCAGCTTTTTAGTAAAAGTTACGACACGCGCGTGGTCGTGGGTGAAAATTCGGAAAATACTTTTTTCTCAAACATTTTGTAATTTTGTGTTATTAATTGCCGTGTATTATTTTAATTTGAATACATTTGGCTCTGTGAATTTTATATCGGTTTTCATGGCAAAAATGTGCAACAGCTGATTTTGCTCGCATTCTTCAAGAATTATATGATGAAGAAAAGGAAGCCTAGGAAATGTGGATGGAGAACAATAGCGATCTATTATTTATTTTCTTTTATTTCTATTTTTTTTAGAAATAAATAAAATATTAAAGTTAGTTAAAGTGCGTTTTGTAACCAGAAGTAAATTTCCTTGCAGAAGTAAATAAGCTAAACTTAACTTTTTCTCTAAGGTGTTTCTTTTTATTTATCTATACTGCCTTTTGGATATAAAATAGCTTCGATTTTAAAAATAGTTATTAAATAATAAATTAAAATTTCGATAGAAAACTCATTGCATTTCCATTCACTATCAAAGAACTTATCCTAAAATGTGAGGAAAAAAAGTAAATTAACTCCACAAATATTAAATAAAATTAAATTTTTTTTTCCTCTTATCTTCATTCCAAAAAAAAACAAAGGAAATCAATACGTAATACCAGCCAAAATTGCAAACACAGCCCCAAAATAATTTATTTATACTTGAATGTGATATCATTTGTATTTTGCAATAATAAGATTAATATTTTATTTCTTAACAAATTTATTATCAATATTCACTCATTTCTGTCGTTTTTCGTGCCAAAAACGTTAAAATAACGGATGTCGTAAAAATACGACGCGCGTGTGCTCATGTAAAATTGCCAAGCGTGCTTGCTGGAAGGTTAAACCTAGGCGTTTCAAATCGCCGTGAACGGTCGAATTCTATAAATTAAATATCTCAGTGATATCGAGTTGTTATTCGCCGGTTTGCATCAGTCAATGACATTATTGTGTCTTCATCAGATTCAACTAGCTTTCCAGAACGTGACGAATTTTCAAAATTGCCGGATCAAAATTTTGCAAACCAGTTTTGCCACTGGCGTTCTGTCAGTACATCTTCTCCATACACATCGGATAATTTCTTATTTGCTCGAACAGCATTTTAACCTTTTCCATAATAAAAAAAGTAAAATATGCCGAAAATGCTGCTTTTTTAATTTCCATATCTGAAAGGGCGCCAAACAAAACCTACAGCGTAGAATCAATCGAACGTTTTCAGAAACAAGCCTTTCTATATCAGCTATCAATATATGTAATGACAGTGCGGCTTAACTTGGAAGTTGGCTGCGGAAAAATACAATTAAACCCTCTGTTGGCTAAAAACGAAATTACTTTCCGAAAAACCAATATGATTATTTCAAGAGTGGTTAACATTGGCTAACACTACACTCTTGAAAACATATAAGCACTCCTTATCAATAAAAAATTGGAGAACTTTATTATCCAACTTTTATTGATAGGATCTCTGTACAACTTCAGTCAGAAGTTTAAAAAATCTCAAATCGGAAATTTCAGAACTCATTTTGAAATATGAAGCGTTCTAAAATACCAATACAATTAGGCCCTCTGTTGGAAAAAAACGGAATTACTTTCCGAACTACCCAATAATTCATTTAACGCAAGTATCAAATCTAGTTTTAGTTAAAGACTTTTAATATTGCATTTTTTTTTGTTATTATTATTCTTATATAAAGTATCTGAGAACCTTCTAGAATACGGATTAGAATTCGAGAAAATTTATGATTTGCCTTATTAGTAATACATCCGTTAATTATTTATTTTCTAGGTGCTGTTGGAGAAGATCCATGGAAGCAAATGGAGTATGGTATGGAACGAAGTATTCCCAAGGCACCAAGAATAATCACAGAACCAGGGACCATTTCACAGTATTCTGACCGCATCGGAGTTCGGTGGGAGGCTCCTATTGATAACAGAGATCCCGTCCAAGAGTTTAGCGTAAGATACGTCCCGGTAAGTTTTCAATCTTTCGTAACTAGAAAATAAATTTGAAAAATGCTATTTTATCTTTAGGAAAAAAAATCTCAGTAGAATCTTTCGAAAGTTTTTCCTGACTATCTGCTGGGAATAACAACTAACTTGTTTCATCCAAAGAAATATATAAATCATGAAATGAATACAAATTTTCTTTGAATGGTATGCCATTTACATCCTTCTCATTGTTCCCTTGGCGAAAATCTCATATTGCCAAAATAATCGGTCATCAGAGTTTTCGGAAAAATAAAGCAGCTCACACTTCTTCTTCACAGATAGCATGAGCGTTCTGAATGCGCTGAATTCCTTTCCTCCAAAACATCCGCACACGGCAGCACTTAGAGAGATCCTCTTGACGTTAGACTCTTCCATACCTTAAAAATCAACTGGATAAAAGGACATAACGGGCAGAAAGGCAACGAACGAACGGATGAACTAGCTAAGACTGCAGCTTTCAAACCAGAAACTGACAAGGCAGTTCCGCTTTCCGCAGAAGTTGCAAAAGGCTCTCAAGACACATTCAAGAGACATGGTCATCACGATGGCAGGAGAAGAAGAGACAGGAATTTATTACAACATCTTCCCAATACCTTCTCTCAAGAGGCTCAATGCACCGACTCTTCCTCCAGCTGTACCAACCACGGGAAATTCCCAGCGTATTAAGACGATTCCTCAGACGGGACGTCAACTGTTCTTGCGGTTTCGCGGAAAGACGCGGACGCACTTCATTACCTGCTGTCCTGCCTCTGACAGAGCACCTTCGACAGCAGTTCTTCCTTCAGACTACATCACATATCCTGTGAATAGACTGTTCACGGACTATTACTGCAACATGGGCATCTTAGAGATAATGAATAAAGAGAATGAAAATAATTATATCGAAGAAACTACAGATTAATGTAAAATGTAGAAAGGCGGCCTAACCGTCAGATTGCTAGCAATGACTAGGATGACTTCCTGACCTTGTAGTGCCATTAACTTAGTTTGGCGAAACAGGTTAAGTAAAGTGACCATATATCTCTTGCCACTTCTACCCCTCTCTCGAGCTGGTCACTTGCTCTGTCCATACGTTGGTAGTTTACATCATAGGGGAGATTGGATGTTTTCACAGGACTCAAATAAAGTTTCATAGGCGTGACAGAGACTGTCAATTCTGAAATTGGCCTATGTGATCACCTAAGTGTTTGATTCGACCTAAGTGTTAATTCGGTCTAAACGTTTGAAATCGGCCTAAGTGCTTGAAATTGGCCTGATCATTTAATTCAGCAATGAGCCGTTCCCTGGCGTTTTGACCTATGTGTAAGGCTTCTGAGAAAAGACGTTACTCATGTATGAACTGCTAACGTGTCCTGGGTTTGAGTCTACTCTCCTGACGTACTGGCAGCTACGTAATCTATGACTTTGGTAACATCTTTTTATTAAAAAAAATAATACTACAAATGTCCATAAAATTATCACTTATTTGTTATTAAAGATGCTTAAAATTATATTGATTAAATAGATTTTAAAGTAAAACAAATTCGAAGGAGATCCTTAAAGCTACTGGTCATGGACTTCGTGACTCATTTGGGATGGTATGAAAACTTTACCGCATGGGAGCTTCACGTAGCATAACAGCCGTCCAATTGGTACAGTGGTTAGCGTTGTGACTGGCGTGCCGAAGGGCAAGGGTTCGAATCCCGGAGAAGGCAGTGGGTGTTTATAAATGTATATTATCGGCACGGCATATCGACTATCATAACTAGACATAGGACAAATCACTTAAAAGGAATGAGGATTTCTGCAGACGGACAGCGTAGTTACACCAACGTTTGTCCTCATTGCCCAGATGACATCCCACTGTCTCGCCATCACATCTTCAGCTGCCCAGCAATCCAGGCCAAACTGTTTAGCATCGGCAATGAAGACCCAATGGACCTACTTTATACTGATAGAGCTGCCGAGGTTGCAAAAGCTGTCTTTGACAGCTTCGAAGCTATATAATTGCACATTGCCATAGACACGACATCATCATCATCATCGGCGCGGCATGGTGGAACTCTAAATATGAGGGGAGCAGAAAGTCATGCCGTGTGGTTTGGTGGAAGGGAAGAAGGATGGGAGACCCTGGAATCCGTCCCCCCGGGGTGCTCTCCATCAAACTCGGGGACGGAACTGAGCTAAATCATACTGTCACCTGTAAGGTGCTCAAGGCTGAGTCGTTGTTGCCAACGACAAGTGCTCCTTGCCACGAGGAATTTCGTAGGCTTGGACTGATGTTACTGGACTGATGTTACTGTCAGACAAGTGAGCATAAGTAACAACAACAAAGCAGCACAGCGCTGCAGACATTTTGGAAACGCTTTGCACAGGATGTTTTTAAGTTAAACAGAAAGAATGAAGCTGCTGCTAAAGGATCTGATGAACTGCAAATTATTTGTGAACCTTCACGAGGGAGTGCTTTTTTTCTCCATGAAAGCTAGGTTGGCTCCATTACTTCGCACCAATCTTCAGTTTTCCATTTGGCAGCTGCCTCTGCGATTGCTTGACAATAGCCTTTTACAAAAATGGCAGAAAAGATGGGAAAGGGAAAGCACAGGGAGGAGAACCTACAAGTTCTTTCCCAAAGTCACGTGCTCAGTTAATACATACAGCGGAGCACAAACTCAATTCTACACTGGCCACGGTCCCTTCCCACATTACCTTAAGAGATTCGGTATACGAGCATCAGAATTGTGTGAATGTGGTGCGATAGTAGATGATGCAGATCACTTCCTCTTCACCCCATAAACCGATAAACTGCATTTAAAAATGCCAAGCAGTGGAATACTGGCTCGGCAATGGGCGGAGAATAGCTGCGGCAACTAAGCAGACGAAAACTAAAATAGAGGAGGTAATCAGGCTATACTCAGCAAGGTACTAAGAAATTCTGCCCCTTCTCTTGAGAATTGTATCTTCGCAGCATAATTGTAATAGCAATTCAAAATACTACAACAACTGAAAATCAGCACTAAAAAAATAGCTCAGCCCGTAGAATAATAACAGGACTGTAAGAGCAAAACTATTGTAATGTAAGCATACTACTATTCAGTTTGTACGTACTTGATAAAAATAATATTATAAAGCAGTTTAAATGATATTGAAAATACAGTCAACGTGTAAATGAATTGCAAATTGAATTTGATTGTCTCAGTAAAAGTATTGCAAATATGAATTCAGATAATGTTTAAATGTACACATAGCAGTCATGATTTTATGTAACTATCATATGTAACTTGTACAAGACAATGATTGTAATCGACATATCTATGCTTATACCCAGGCCTTGTATGCCCATGTAATATTTATATGTATATTTTTACACGGAGGAAATATTCCCTTCTGCCAGGATGACTATTAACACTGTAAGACTTTAACAACAAAGTCAGGTCAGTGGTTATCTCAGGCGGTGCTCAGTGCTCCATTAGATGTATTAACAATTATTTAATTTTTCTTAGTTTTATTTGATGTAACTGTTCAAATCACATGAAATGCTTTGAATGCACCACAGGATCTCTTCTCTCGATGCTGATTCATGGCTTTATTTCAGGTCGAACGAACAATTAAAGGCTGGGTTGAAAATGGCCCTGCTGCGGAAAAGACTTACGTCAGCTGGGAGAGAAATCAATATGTGGAACTTAGAGAACTATCCCCAGACACATACTACAAAATCGAAATTAGGGTAATTAATAAGAATGGAAACAGTCTTCCCGATACAGTTGTCATCAAAACTCGAGCAGGTGAGACTTTTATGATTGAAATTTGTTTCTTCTATTATTTACTGTTTCCAGTTCAAAAGGCGATTCAGATGTGAATATCTTGGATGAGGTAATAATTTGTTTTCCTTCAGGTGAAAAATTTTGGTAAATACTGATTCTTATTTCTTAGGACCTTTAACTACCGTAAGACACACCTACATATAATTCTTCAAGATGGATGCAGATGTTAAACTGAGGCGATGGCGTAAGATGAGTATGGTTACATTTGCTAGTTTTGAAGCTTTACCGGCAACAAAAGGTCTGCCGGCTTCGCAGCGCCATCTATATTTGGTAATCAGTACTAACTTTGTTGGTCTACTCCAGTGAGGTCAAACTCGAATTGCATGCGAGACAAATAGGTAATGTAAAAACAACTGAAGAGAATTTTTTTTCTTTCTTTTTTAATAAGAAATTTATTAACAAGATAAAAATGCTTTAAATAAATTTTAAATTTTGCTTTCTAGATATTTATTATACAATAGTAATAACAATATCACAAAGAAAAAATTTTAAATTTGTATTTATTTTCCATCTGAAACCTAAAGTTTGGTACCTAAAACACAGTTTTGTTGATTACATTTTGTAATTCAAATACATTGACAGCTAAATATCATATTGTTAGACTGATATTTCTTTCAAATAATTCTGGTATGCTCAATTCATCATTAAATAACTTTAATTAAAACTATAAATACATAAATTATGAAAACCTTTAAAGGGTTCAAAAGAGTTTCAGAAGCCTTCACAAAAAAATTACCAGTTGGGGGGAAAAACTTGAGAACAAATAATTGCAATCTAGTCTCTTTTTCTTATTTATTAAATTTTTGTTCGAAGCATAAATAAACATACATATATTTGCATGCAAGTAATTTTTCCTTATTTTTTACTATTTATTTTTCACTTGATAGCATTTCGATTCGAACGAAGTTTGTAGTCTTGGAGAAAAATTACTAAAACTTCTCTTTATCGCTAATTGTGAATGGTCAATCATATTCTTGTCTTAATAATTTTCAACTGTGTAAAAAAGTTCTTCGCATATAAATGTATTCCCAAACCGATTATTCCTAGCGCAAAAATCCGTAACCAAACTTATTTATTTTTTGACAAATACGAATAAACGTTAACACAACATGTACTTTTAAGTTTTTGAATATCACATTCTAATTAGCTCCATTTAAAGATTTTTCCCGCGCTTTCTTCATATTTGTCTTTAATATACACGAAAACAAATTCTAATCTCAGGCTTCAAATAAAAATCTTGAACCTATGGAACACCATAACTGAAATGTATTCGCTAGTCGCATAAAATTCGTTCTGGTGTCGAGTGCAGCCTTTCTGAATTATTAATAGCAGTGTTAAGCAATAGATGGCGCTGCAATATTTTTTAAGTTGCTCTTGCACGAGTCAGGTTTGATTTAGTTCATTTGATTACGGCAAAGCATTTGATGGCTATCTGTGTGAGGGGAGGGATGACTTCGCGTAGGACTTGTAAGGAAAATTGGCTCATATACACGTTACAGATGGAGAAAACCACGCAACCAGTCTATTCACCCTTGCACGAGTCAGAATAGAGCCCATAATCTAATGTCTTGCAGCATATGATGCTTAACACTTTACCGACCGCTAACGGTTCAACAGCATACGCACGTCCGCTCAGCCGCAGATCCTCCCTGTCCTGATAAATCTGATAAATCGTCAAAATAAAACTCTCCAGTACCATTTTCTTCGCTCATCGGGAACGGTAATTTTTTTTTTAAAACGATGTGAAAATGGGGATGTTTACGAAGCAACGCACTTAATGCGAGTAAGCAATGTATCTCAATATTAATAACAAATGCAGATGATATAGCATATGGAAATTGTTCATAGCCATGGTTACCGATTGATAGGCTATTTTTAGGTAGCCCGAGAAAAAAGCGATTAATAGGCTATCGGTCGGTACGCGTTGGCGAAAAAAAGCCAATTCATAGGCTATAGGTCAGTAGGCGTTGGCGAAAAATAAGCGATCTGTCGGTAGGCGTTGGTGTTAAAAGACCCATTAATAGGCTATCGGTCGGTAGGCGTTGGCGATGAAAAGCCGATTAATAGCTGATCGTTCGGTAGATGTTGGCGATGAAAAGCCGATTAATAGGCTATCGGTCGGTAGGATTGCTAGAACGCCCCAACCCGCCTGATCACAAAGTGATTTTATGGTCCAAAAAGGGGCGTCCCATTCACACCACAAGCGAAGGCAGCCAGCGACCCGGAGAGTCTCCCAACAAAAGTTAAAACGCCAGATTAATAAAAAAGAACAACTAATCCAAGGTATTATACACGAAGCAACTTTAACATTTAACTTAAAGTTCAAAGTTCCAAGAAACGAAGCCCGGTATTCCGAGTAACTAAAAATGTTAGCATAATCAACTAAAGAAAATAATAATCCAGCAAGGTTGCCATACACGATTTGGGGACGATGTTGTTTATATGGCAATACTTTTGACGTTGAAACTTAACTCTTTTACTGCAGTAGTTTAATTTCTCGTTGGTTCGAGTCGTACGTGTTTTGAAATGGCCTATGTTGCAATATGAGACGTGGTGTCAAGATTTCAGTTGCGTATTTTAGATTGTGTGAAAAGTAAATTTAGTGTTAAAAAGTACGATGTTGGAGTTGTTAACAATTCGGCTAATCTTTGGAATATAGTAACAGGTAGTTTGGCGGCATTTTGGTAAGGCGATAAAGGTTACTAGCTAGGACTTTAGCAGTGTACATGGATAAAATCAAGAGTGTGCGCAATGCCATTTTTGTGCTATTCTGGGATGTTTTTTTAAGTGAAAATAGGTTGATGTGTACATGGATACCGTGTATGTGGAATTCTTAAAAAAGCGCCAAGCAGTGGACGATTCTGCACTTTCTCCCAATTTCGCAACTAATCTTCGTCATGATTAAGCACTTTTGTTCCATAAAAGTTCTAGCATAAGCGCAATTCGGCTAGCAGATTGTCGGAAAAAAATGTTGAGTAAAAAATAAAAATAAAATAAAAAAAAACATGCCTTTACTTCGTGAAAACAAAATGGCGTCCAAAAAAAAAAGCTAGCAGGTTGCTGTAGCAGGGTTGGTCTCCAAGTTTTCGCCAAAAAATCGCCAAGTTACCATAATACAAAGATTAACCAGCAATTCTTTTGTTCACGGGTGTGTTTATGCGGATCGAATCGTATTTTTGGAATTTCTGTGGGACTTTTAAAACGAAGTTTGAAATGGGGAGCGGCTATGAGAACTCGGACGAAGAAGGGCGTTTCTGATAGTTCTTGTGTGGATTTGCAGTCAAATGGTTGCTGGTAAAGTATGTCGCTGTCAGCGGAGTTTAAGATTTGGATCGAGGTTTTCGCGTAGTAAGCTGGAGGAAGTTTTTATCGTTACTTTCGAAATTTGAATCCCAGAAAGACATGTGATATAACAAAATCGTGCCACTTTTGTTCACAGACGTTGTGTGATTGGCGATATTTCTGCTGTCCGAAGAAGCGTTCATTATGGTAAGTGCATTTTATTTTTTTTATTTTGTAGAATGTTATGTTTTGTAGAATGTTATTGTTTTTTTACTATGAATTTCTGTTGTTAATGTTGTTTTTTGAATTGTTTGTAATTTATTTTAGTTATTTTAGTTTATTTTGTTGATTTGAGCGGAATGCCTAGATTGTGCAATTTTAGATGTTTTTTCAAGTTTAAACAGAAAGCTGTGTATGTGGTATTCTTTGAAATTTATTGTTGTTATGTTAATTTATTAAAGTGAGGTGTGCGTAGTTTGTAGATTACTTCGCTGCCTAGATTGTGCAATTCGTAGATGCTTTTTAAGTTAAAACATATCGCTGTGTACATGAATTCTTGTCAAATATTTTTGGTTAGAAATTTTACGTTTTTGCTAGCTAAATATTTTGTTTTTCTTTCGGACTTTTAGCTTAAATTGTGTGTTCAAAAACGTGGTTTTTGCATACGCGAAAACCGCGTTTTTTGGAGACATTTTTGGCTTAAAGTTCGACATGTAGACAAAACATTTAGATAGTAATATGGCACCGTGGAGTTTCTCGTCAAAAATATTTGGCGAGAAATTTGTCGCCAAGCGAGGGCGTATATAAGAGTAGTTCCTATTTCATATAGTTACCAGAAATTACGATTCTTAGGTTCCGTTTTAATTTCTTATCAAAATCGTTCTAAAACTGTGTAAACACCCTCTGAAAAACTAATACAGAAGAAGGTCTTTACAATGGTCTTTACCGAATTACTTGAAAAATGTTCAACTTCTTGACTGTGCCATAGATTTCATGAAACGTAATTAGCAGATATGGGATTGAAAATAACCTAATAAATGATTCAGTATGCGAAAACGTAATAAATAAAAGATAATTTCAAATTGACACTTTTTAACTGTATTTTATCAGTCTGATATGAATAATAAGCGTAAGTTTATGTATCATTGCTAACAAAGTTGGAAATTTCCCAGCCGAGTTTGATGCCAGTTTTACTCTTCAAAATATATGGGGCAGACTAGAGCTTGATAAAAGATCTATGATACAGTGTTTCAGAGACAACAGTCTAAAAGAGGTCAAGGAGATCAGGATTTCAAGACTGCTTGACACTGGGCAAGTAAGTATATCTTTATGAGATCAACTTACCAAGATCTTGATGTTATTTCTGTTTTAAATGTTTCCTGTGTACTTTAATTTTAACTTTTTTAGGAAAAATTTACTAGCATCACTAGCCTCTTTATCAGGCTTCTTAATTCTACTGTAAAGCTTTTTTATTTTATTGTTCATCCCCCCCCCAGGGTTGACCATGGTCAAGTTTTGTCTCGTTCGTCAATTATAAAACACAAAGTCTGTGGTGGACGGCTAGCATCCATCTAAGAAGAAACTCCTAAGCATATGTCAAAACATCGACCATTCCCCAGCCTTGGCCAAAGCAAAGCCAAACCCTCTCTAGTTTGTTTTCTTTGAATGTATTGACAATTCAGCATGACAAAATTACAGAAAAATTCATCTTTATTAGGATCTCACCGCAGGCCAAGAACTTTTATAGACTTATTTTCTACAATCATTAGAGATTTATTCTTAGTTAGACTATTTATGACTGCGTTTTCTAACACTGTTCTTTTGCTGGTAGACCACTTCTGGACTAATTCAAATTCACCTTTTCTAAGAATTTGGCTCATTTTTTAGCTTAGAATACTCTTGAACGTTATCTGCACCTGTCAATACATCGTCCACATAAAATCCCTAAGCGATTTTAGAAAAATTCTCATTTTCGTCAACTGATAATTGCCTCAATGCTCTTGCCGCCAAGTGTAGCGCAAAAGCAGTTCCATACATACACCACAGTATACGGAACTGGAAAATCTGCACACTACGTTTCGAACGTATCTGTATAATATACGTTTTGAAAACCTTATTGTTGAGGCTCAATTTTTACTTGTCAATACATCCTTCTCAATATCAGCAGTTATTGCAATTCGATGGCCCCTGAATCTCGACAGAATCCTAATCAGATAGTCTTGGGATTTTGGGCTAATCTTTGGAATATGGTAACAGGTAGTTTGGCGACATTTTGGTAAGACGATAAAGGTTACTAACTAGGACTTTAGCAATAATCTGAGAAGTACACAGTTTGAATCACAGATTATTTTGTCTCAGAGAAATAAGAGATCATGAAACATGTCATGTGACATTTTTCGGAAAATTTTAATGGGGATTTTAGCTAATAAGCACTTAGAAACAATTTCGCTGCTAAAGTGCAGAATCTCCCACTTTTTTGTTCGGCGCTTTTTACAAGAGTAAGAAGAATTGGAATTTTGTCAATTTTCTTTGACTTTTTAAGTTAAAATAGGTCGATGTGCACGTGGATAAAGTCAAGCGTGTTCGCAATGCCATTTTTGTGCAATTCTGGGATTTTTTTAAAGTTAAAATAGGTCGACGTGTACATGAATACCGTGTATGTGCAATTCTTAAATACGCGGCAAGCAGTGGGCGATTCTGCACTTTCTACCAATTTCGCACCTAATCTTCGTCATGATTAAGCACTTTTGTTTCATAAAAGTTCTAGCATAAGCGTAATTCGGCTAGCAGATTGTTGGAAAAAAAATTTTGAATTAAAAAAAAAAAAAAAACACATGCCTTTACTTCGTGAAAACAAAATGGCGTCCAAAAAAAGAAAACTAGTAGATTGCTGTTTCAGAGTTCGCCGCCAAATTTTCGCCAAAAAGTCGCCAAGTTACCATAATCCGAAGATTCACCTGATTTTGGACTAACCATTAGAGTGTCATTGAGAGACTGATGATGACTTTACACTTCCATCACCTTTGAGTGAAGATTTTAAATACTGTAACTTTTAAGCATTTAAACATACTGTCACTAAGCACACATGCATTAAACAGATCATTAGAAATTATCCAGTCCTTAATTTTTACTAAATCTTGGCAAGTTTAACTGCGGGAGTTTTAACACTTTCTAAAGACGTTCGTTCCTTCAGCTTTTATCTCTGATTTCGAACCTAACTTAAGTGCCACAGATTTTCTATTTAACTTTAGAGTTACTTCATCTAGACTTTCCTGAATGCTGAACTGCTTCTCGAAGTACTTTTCAATGTAATTTTCCTCACACTTTGTACACAACTGGTCGAATATTTCTTACAGTTAACTACTAAATACATTACACGTTTTAATAGTAAATCACATGTACTTAAGTCTACATTTTCTATACTAACTTTATCGCTACATTTCGTTGTTTGCGATTTTTGTGCTATCTTTTTTTGGTACTATTCGGTTTCGAGGGCCGTAAAAAATCGCCAAGTTATCGTTGATGCCAATGCTGCCAAAAAGAATTGTGGCAGCCCTAATAATTGCGGCAAGAAAGAAGTATAATAGTAAATAACTATTTAAGATTGATGTTTTCAATTAGATGAAAGGTTAATTTAATATGATACTTTTTTATTATTATAATTTATATGATAAAGGCTAAACATGACTGAATGGAAGCATAAGAGTCAATAACTATTTCAGATCATTATTATAATTTATATAAAAATTGCTAAACATAACGGAATGGATGCCTGCATCGCTATTTCGCTACCGACTTATCGCTAAAGCATCATTTCATCTCGTTGGTTGTTCAAACGTAATTTTCTATAATGAATGGTGCCTTTTCTTTGAAAATATTCTCGGTAAAGTGCACAATCGCCCACTTATTTGTTTGCCGCTTTTTACAAGGGTAAAAACAATTGGATTTTTGTCAATTTTCTTTCACTTTTTAAGTGAAAATAGGTAGATGAGTACATAGATAAAGTCAAGTTGGTGTGCGCCAGTGCCATTTTTTTGCAATTCTAGGGATTTTTTTTTTTTTAAAGTGAAAATAGATCGATGTGCACATGGATACCGAGTATGTGCTATTCTTAAAAACGCGTCAAGCAGTGGGTGATTCTGCACTTTACCCAAAATTCTATTACCGACTTTTCGTCATGGACAATTCCCAAACTGTTAAATCCATAGGATATCAAAAAAGGATTTAAAAATTAAACTAGTATTTCAATGGCGTCTTAAGAAATATAGAACTATATAAACATACGCAATCTGAAACCAGCGCGTGCGCTAGATTTTGCGCGCTGTTAAATGGGCGCGTTTGCTAGGATTTGGCGCTTTTGCGCATGCATTTTCGCTGCAATTTTCTTACGGCCCTCAAAACAGAATAGTACCATTTTTTTTAAACAAATCTTCTTAATTTTTTAAAAGATTTAATACAAACAAAAACACAACTTACCACTGTAGATCCACCAATTTTCAGGAACTAGTCTCTCACATAAGTCTCCACGAAAGTGTAGAAGCGCCAACAGCATGATGTCACGTTGTAGGTGCTAGTTTGAAAAAAATGAAATTCAGTTAGATTCACATAATCTACAATCCTTTTATTTTTGCCAGGTTACACGGGGTCTCGTTATCAGTTTCGCATTTTGTTAACAGCTACGTGCCGTAGTGGGATATGCATTTCACTCAATGCTCCACATCTGGCGGTATTCTTGGCAAGCTCTTGTTCATTCTTCTCCTTCAAGACAAGCTTTGTCCGCAACACTACTCAGTACTTCTGTGTAATCATATGCAACAGAAAAACTCCTGACGTCACTGCTTATGACGCAAAAGTTGTCATGAAGTTATATTTGAAAGAATAATTATCATTTATATTTAATGATTTTATTATTTTACATCAAATTTTTCTGGCATATTTTACATCAAATTTTTCTTTGAGTGTTTTTAGCTATCCTTATTTCAATGCGCATAATATTGTTGCGTGCGTACGGGTTCGTTATGAAATGAATGCACAAGTCCGATGAAAAATGAACAAAAATTTATTATGATCACAACAAAAATGATTAAATTTTCTCAAATTATCATGTAGTATTATAATATCTCACAGTAGTTATCTTTTAACTACTCAAATGTCCAATAAAACGTAATTCAAAACAGCCAAAGAAAGCTAATCCGCGAATTCGCTACAATCAACAAGCGCAGTTCTCTAAACAACAATGTGCTATTCTTATACAAACTAAGCAACTACTACGAACTGAGATGTTTTTCCTCCTTTTATAAGATTTTAAAATCACGCGCTAGAATTTTCCAGTACTTTCTCGAAATTGAAAAGAGATATTTATTTATTTAATGCACGCGCTCTTGTATTTTCAATTTTTCCAGCTTAGCTTTCTTTTAATATTCGTCACGCGCTGCACTGCGCGAGAAATAAAACCATTTAATTTATAATTGAACTAACATTAACTTTTTAAATACCAAATTCGTAACAATATTTTTAATTCCTTGTACGAAGCATTGTAATCGCAAAAATTGGAGTACCATATTTCAACGAAAATACGCATTTTGACCGCTATCGAATACAATTTAACGATGTTTTCTGCGTGACAGCTGTACGTAAGAGCAGAATAAAGCACACTTTTCGCCAAAACGGTTTGCAAAAAGGATTTAAAATGAATTCCGAAGAGATTTTTTATCGACGTCTGTACGTACGTACGTAAGTATGTATGTATGCATCTCGTATAACGCGAAAACGAGAAGCTCCAGAACGTTGAAATTTTGCATATGGGACTGCTTTAACATGTAGTTGTGTACCTCCCTTTTTGATAGCAATCGGCCGCACCCAAAAGTGTATATATATATATATGTAATAATAAAATTCCATAGTCAGAATACACTTAAAATTCTAACTGTATGTTCTTTTCGTTTTTAATGGCGACGTTCTCTTATTTGAAAGTACGTTGAATTAAATCCACAGCCCCGTAAGTCAAGTTGTTTTTCCCGCCTTTTCTACACGTACAGTTTTAGAATGTTCTGGAAATATTTTAAAGCGAACTGGATTGGCTGACGAGGCTGACGTCATTTCTTGGAAGCTCCGCTTTTCCAGAGGCTATAAAAGGACTCGCAAAGGAATACTGGGGGCTTTTTCTTAAATGTCACGATGCAGTAAACTTCATACAAAATTTTATTAGTAGTTCTTTTTTATTTACTCCGGATATCTGATTTTGTAACTGCTAATTCTCCTAACCAATAATAAATGGATCCTGTTTTTTAAACTTATCGTCTGATAATTTAGGCTACGACAAAAGCTGGTACATCACATATAGATATATGCACATACCCACTCTGTTACTCGGCTCCATGAGCTCAATTTTTTATTCTTATATGTAGGTAAATTTTGCATTTTTACTTTAAAAAATGATAGAATTATGTTATTCTTATCTTCCGGCTAAGAGTTTTATGCTTTTAGTGCTTTTTATGCCTACATGCACTAGTTGTTGAATTATCAACAATTTAAAAGTTGTGTAAGTGTGGCCAAACCTAATTTGTTTAGCTTAGCACCCATATTTGTTTACACTTGGAACTTAGCAGAATAGTGAATTAAGTCAGTTTCTGCACTTTCAGCGTCTTTTTGCGGAGTGGGACCAAAAGAAATCTTTCAGTGTTGTGCACCGAAAAAAGTGCCTTCTTGCCCGCCGGCCAAATTACTTGTTTTAGCGTAGAATAATTTTAATTGTAAAAACTGTTTTTTAATTGTTTTGACTGTATTTGTTTTATATTTTTCTATATTTTTCAATTTTTAATAAAGGTATTTTGAGGTTTTATGTATTTTTGCGATGTCGCGAAGAGAGAGCAGAATTGATTGAACGGGACATGTATCTCTAATGAAATTCGAGGAAGAAAGTTTAAATGAAATGCAGGGAAAATTTGCGTATAATTTAATATTCCGCACAAAGGAGTCATGTGGTGTACACATCAGATTTTTTCTAGACGGTGTACTAAATATATTTCACGTAAGATTTTACCTTTAAAATTTATTTCAGTTTTTTTTTAAATTTTGAACTACGTAAAGTGAACTTTCTAATTTTATCTCAATGCGCTTTTTTTTCCCTTCATTTGCTTTATTAAACTGTTGTTTCTTTTAATTTTATATGCATTTTTTTATCCTGCTCTAAAATTTCTTTTATTTCTCAATCCATTTTTGTGACTTTAAAAGGCTTTGATACACTGAAATTATTGTTATTGTCATTTTTCTTATATATAACATGTGTTTTAATATCTTCCTTACTGTTCGTCTGTGAGTGGATCCATATTTAAAGACATGCTATATATAGCCTCTATTTTTGAAGCACTTTGTACGTAAATGTGTTTTTCGATGTAACATTTTAATTTATTGGTACTTTTCCGTTTCGCCGGCGCAAATATCGCCATGCAGACTTTATTGGCGACAACATACAGTATACACATAAAAAATGTTAAAAAATTTTAGTTCTAAGAATTTTTTATTTTGAAGGCATAAACATTTTAATATTGTTTAAAATTTTATAAAAAGCCAATAAATTTGTAAAAAGATATTAAGAATTTACTATGCTTTCATGGTTCAACATCTTGATTCGCCGGTTTATAACACGTGACCCCAAGTGATCTGATCTCACGTAAACTACGCTACAAAAATCTAATTCAGTAATTATATACATTAATTTCAAGTTAAATCTCAATCAGTATACACATAAAAAATGTTAAAAAATTTTAGTTCTATGAATTTTTTATTTTGAAGGCATAAACATTTTAATATTGTTTAAAATTTTTGTAAAAAGCCAATAAATTTGTAGAAAGATATTAAGAATTTACTAATGCTTTTCATGGTTCAACATCCTGATTCGCCGGTTTATATCACGTGACCCCAAGTGATCAGATCTCACGTAAACTACGCTACAAAAATCTAATTCAATAATTATATACATTAATTTCAAGTTAAATCTCAATTTGGAGTACAAATTTAAATGAAAGAATTATTTCAATTCGTACGAATAGCTTACTCAGAAATTACGTAAAACCGCAGTGCTTTACTTCGCTAGTGCATTCTCATTAGAATGGATGAATTTAACCCTTGACTTTGCCTTTTCTATATTTTCGCCTTTGGGTGCGATTGCCTTCGGGTGTAATTGCACCCTAATTGACTTAATTACCTCGAATGGCCTTAGGCCATAAAACTGAACTATCCGGTAAAAATTCTATGTAATGGTATGCTAGTATTGAAAGAAACAACCAATCTGGTAAGAAATGGCTGTGCTTTGTTTTAAAAATGAGGCGTAAAAAGTTACCAGCGAGGATATTAAGTTTGGCATCAGTTTTACCATTATTGGCGACTTTATCGCCTGCGCCAGCAAAACGGAAAAGTACCAATTTATTATTATGTTCTATCTTTATGGTGTGTTGAAGTACAATCAGTATCTTTCTGCTGTGCTGTAGGGTTGGGATTTACCTAGGTCATCTAAACAATTCGTACAAGGAAATCCTGTCTTTGCTCGGATACTGTTTCTGCCAAGCGAAGATCAATTAAACCGGTTTGGAGCATTCCAGTGCAGCTTTGTTAAGAATGAAACACAAAATAGTATTATAACCCTCAAACTTCCACCAGCAAGTTTAGGTAAGTATCAGAAGCATTGGCATTTAAGCATTTTTCCTGACATTCATGAAAGTTTAAACAGAAATTTCGCCAATCATTCCGAGAGACATTTAAAGAAGCAGAATACTCTTTTTCTCTCGCCTTCATCAGCAAAACAAGTTGACGGTATAGCATACAAAAAAGCTTGAGTAAACATGAAAACCAGTAAGTTAGCAAAAATCTGAAAGAAATAGACACGCTACTTCTATTTAAATTTTCAACAAATAAAGTGACATGTCAGAGTTTAGTTCAATGTTGCCTGAAACAAAGGATATCTTATGAGTCTGTAGTGGGAAAATAATTTAATGTTTTTGCATAGTTATTAAGATTTGCTGTGTGGCAACAAGGAGTTCAGTTCAAAAAGCAGTTACTTTGAGTGTTCCATAACAATCGTTGCGTAAGCTTTAATCCTTAAAAATCTTTGTTATACTATTTTTATGTAAAAAATAATTAATATGTAATAAATAAGTATGAAAGTTATATAAAAACAAATATGCTGTTTTAAAGACTAAAAAAAAGCATTATTTTAATTACGAAACACTCTGGATAGTGTTTTTTTTTTTTTTTTTTTTTCCGATTTTGATTTTTTATCAGTACCTACATCAAAAGAATGGTCACCCGAACGTGATTCCTTGAAAGAAGACTCTGGATTCTATTGCACAAATGGTTTATGGGACAACAACCAAACTTCCTGGAGAATTTTTTGATAAACCTACGGGTTCTATAACACGTCAAACATTTTTGCGTAAATTGCAAAATGAAATGGAATTGTTCAAGTTCTCTGTTGTATAGTGAAAACTGATTCCTAAAATTTTTGTCCATAAAGATCTGGATGTATGTACTCATGTCTTCCTAAAAACCGAATGAGTCAAGAAACCCTTAGAACCTAGATATGAAGGATCCTTCAAAGTACTTAAAAGGAATAAAAATTAAACAAACATCTGAGATCTTTCAGATTTTATATTACGCCCAAAGGGACTCTTTTTTCTAACTCGTTTTTTAACGTTTTATAGATTATTCGGCTTTTTAGATCGCGTTGTATTCTAACTGTACTATTAAGTGAAGATGATGAATATTAAGAATATATATGAGCATCGAACATGGCACTTAATTTAGTTTTGCATGATAAAAAATGCTAATTAGTATAAGTATAAAATTTAGTTGATTCAATTAAAAATTTAATTGGGTTTAATTGGGGTGTGACAAAATTTTTCGTCATGTTTCCACCTTGCGCGCACAGTTTAAAGCATTCTGTCGCATAATTTAATTCCATATTTAATACGTAGCTTTTGGAACATTTAGAAACGACTGTGAACCAAAAATTCTTAGAATTTCATGTTAAAGTTTTATTTAATTTGCATTTGAGTTTATAAAATGTATTTTATTAAAAAAATCTGTAATGTTTTTGAGCACAAACCTTTTAAATATTAAAATATTCATCAGATTTTTTGGTTCATTTAGAAGATAGTGCCCATATAAAGAATTCCATGAAATTTGAAGTATGTACCATTAGCCATTTTTAAAATATCATGCGCGCAAGGTAGAAACATGACGAAAAGTTTTGTCCCAAAGCGGATTAAATTACAAAAATATTTGTGGCAACGCAAACGTTCTGGTTGCTAGTTCCCAAAGCAGCTATATTATGTAGTCAGCTGTAAAAAGTTGGAAGTAAATGATTTTTTAAATAAATAAAATATCTCAATTCTTGCAACAGTCACATATTCGAAGATCATAAGGGGTTTAAGGTTTATGAGCCCCCTTAATTTGCATATGCGAAATATAAGCTTTGATTTAAGGAAAAAACGCAAGAAATGTACCAAATGATGTAGTGAATGTAGTTGCTTTACATATCTTTCAAGCTTGCATGAAGTTATATAACTTCGGAAGCAATACTAAAATATCTAAATATCTTTATGGGAATTGAAGTTCTGAAAATATTTTTATGTTTTTGAGGTTGTTTCATAGAAGGTGAAGTCTTCAAACTTTTATGACATATCATAATTATTCATGAATTTTCCTGAAGGATGAAAAATAATTTCTTGTTGGAAGTTTTAGTTACATTCTGTAAACACCCATAGCAACACTCGTGTAGTTTTTCCTAAATAATGTGAAATACTTTAAAAACGAATAAGATATATTCTAACAGCATGCAGGATATTAAAATGTTTGGTATGAAACGATTAAAATCTTGCATGAAGTTCAGTATATTTTTGCTCTTATTAATGCAAACGTCTTCCTAAATTCTGAAATTGTAATGTTCCTTCCATTATTATTTTCAATATTTCTTATTTTATAAATTGACTCGGATAAATGTGTTAAATTTTAGAAAAACTTCAGATATTTAAATTCTGATTAAATTAATTAAATTGCTAATTAATTATTGCCTCGTACCCCATAATTTTAATTCATAGATTTTTTAGACCAAAGCAACAATTTGCCCAGAATATCTATTAATTTCGTTTTGGCATTTTGCGTCAGTTCACTATAAATGCCGTTCATTTTTCAAATTGTTGGCACCAAATATTAGAGCCCTGCATTATATTTAAAGAAATTAAATAATGAAGAATCTGCATTAATTCTGGCACTGTGAAAAAACAAAGTACCTAGAGTCATCAAATTTTGAAAAACGTAGACCTTCATTCGAACTTGGGTACTTGGAAGCACGAATTTTGAATTTCGAATATGTTTTATTATTTGTTTAAAATTTTGTAAAACTTTAACAAATTTTTGAAAGAACTGTTGGGGGGAAAAGACCCTTCTTTCCTCCAGTTTCCTCTATGTATCGGAAATTCTAAAGATATGCTTTTAAATATTTTGTGACATTGCTGTTGAATTGAATTTTATGTGGTTTCAGTTCAAAGAACATGATATTTAATAAAAACAATTAACACAAAAAACGTTAAAAAATAGCCCTTTTAGCTCCATGCAGTGCAGCGCGTGCGAATATTATGAGAAAGCTAGGCCGGAAAATTTAAAAATACAAGAGCACGTGCATTTAACATTTAATAAATTAATTTAACATCTATATATAATAGGATTCGGAAATATGCAACCGACAAAAACCGGCAATGATGAAAAACAAATAACATGAAATAAATAAATATCTTTATTATATGCGGCTTAAGTGTCTGTTTGTCGCCGAGTTTATTGGTTGCTTGCGTAACTGTACTAGCCAAAGGGGTGAAGTTGCCACGGCACAGGGTTGCCGTTTCAATTGAGACGTAGACAATTTCCTGTAAAACTTGCATAAGTCTCAGGGCCAAACGCTTAAGCGTGTTGGCATTTTTTTACCTGAGCCTGCATTTGGACACGGTCAACTTTATGTTGCCTGTTCAAGTGTTCGTGATAAAACGGACGTAAAATTAAAAATAATGGATGTTCCTCTGCAAGGTGAGCTTAAAAATGATGAAAAGATACATCTACGCAAGAAAAGTTGTGTACAAAGAGATCTTTGACATGTGAATTAACATTTTATTATTTAAAACACCTTTATTTATTGAGCTAGCAATGGCTCTTAAGAAATGTACCGCCAGTGGTTTCCTTTATTGCACTCTACTTTAAGCAATTAAGCAAGTAGAAGGGGGAAACCTAGTGGGGCACTAAGAAAAGGGGCGTCCTCGCCGCCTGCCCTGGGTAATTCAATTTGAATTAGCAAACACCTTTGCACAAATCATTTTAATTACAATTTATAATATCTAGAACAGCGGTCATTTTGTATGACCGCCGGGTTTTCTAGTTTTGTAATAACTCAGTTGCAAGTTTTAAATAATATTTTTAAAAAATCCTTTTTTTATTCCCTTTCAGAAATATTCAGAGAAAGTTAAGTACTGTTTAACTTATTTCCCTATTAAAATAAAATAAAAGGTACGCTAATTTAAAATGGACCCAATAGAGCATTAATTATTAACTTTGTATTCTAGAATGTGCTGTTAGGGACAGAAAGGTTGGGGACTCGTGATTTTAAACAATAGAGCTCTGCCGATTATGGTTACAGTGAAATAATTTCGAAATTTTTTAAGGGCAGCACCCACATTTTTCCTGCACAGATTGATTATCGCATTGAAAAGCCATAAAATATAAATAAATCGAGTTGTCATGACGCACTTATGATGCAAATTTCCGACGTAAAATATTTTCAAAGAAGAACATTGTTAAGAACCAATCACAAACAAGAGAGGAGGCAGGAAAAAAACCTTTTTTTTCCATTACTATGTATAGACATTAGTTTATTTCGAAGCAAGGGACGTGAAATATGAGCAATGCCCTAGCCGGAAATCGAACCACGGACCTCTGGAATATACGCGCCCAGCATGCAGACCACTACACCACGAAGGCAGGCTAAGGAGGGAAATACCTTATATACTTCACCTTTTAAAGGGCGACTGGGAATTAGGGGACCTAATCGCCAAATCTTGGTGGTGGAGAATTATCATCCACCAACTTTTTTTTTTTTTTTTTTTTATTTCGGGCGCCAGTCTAGAGACATTGAAATTTTTTTAAGAGATGAAAAATGAGCAATGCCCTCGCCGGGAATCGAACTACGGACCTCTCGAATACGCGACGAGCTTGCTGACCACTACACTACGAAGGCATGCTAAGAAGGCGGGAGAAATACCTTATAACTGCTACTCTCTTTTTTTTTCATTACTCCATTTTAGTACATACATACATTCAATACATTACTCTGTTACTATTAATTCAGTTTTTATGTACTAGTTTTAGCAAAAAATAAATATCTCTAAAAGCCTGGTAATTCTTACAATTATTATTCTATCTGTAAATTTATCAAAATTGCTTCTTTATTTCATGTCGCATATCAAATATTTACAGGAAATCAGCATACATTTTCTCTAGTTTTGTTTCCGAAAATAATGTCTAAATATCTCTTTCAGCTGAATTAAACGCATTGACACCTTATGTGGTTGCCAGCGTGGGTGATGACATTGAACTGGAAGTGAGCATTGCCAAAAAGCGAAATCAGCGCATCAAATGGAGACGTAACGACATGCCAATTTTTAAATGGGATAACCAATTAAAGGTCTACCTGAAGAATGTACAAATGACAGATTCTGGGATTTATGAATGCTCTTACGACGGCAGAAGGGAGGAAGGTGTTCACGCTCTGATGAGACTTATAGTTAGAAGTAAGTCACGACATTAAAATAGTTTACAAAATTAAATTACACGGCTTACACGTTTATTAATTACACTGTTATTTAAGCAGCATTTAACATTCTAACCGATAAACTAAACAGCTACGTATAATATTATTACACTAAAATTAGAAATAAGATAAAATGCAAAAAGAATATACATGAAATTACTATGAAAAAACAACCCCCCCCCCCCGAAAAAAAAAAAAAAAAAACCTGAAAGTTTTCAGATTTTATATTACGTCCAAAGGCGCTTTTTTTTTTTTTTTATGTTTCACGCGTTTCCTTTATTTATTAAACATCATGTTCTTCGCACTTAAACCATAAAATTCAATTTCACAAAATATTCAATTCACAAAATCACAAAATAATTTAAAAATAAGCATATCTTTAGAATTTCGATACACAGTCTCGCGCGCTGGAGATAAAAATCTATTTTTTTTTCCTACAATTTTGCCATCGCATGCTTTGAAATCGTTGGGTTTGTTGATAAAAAATTCGTTAAAGTCTCACAAAATATGAAATCGCTAATAAAACAAATACCAAATTCGGGTTTCCAGATGCCCATATTCGGGTGGAAGATTATGTTGTTCAAAATTGGATGGCTCTAGGTGCCGTTATTTTAACACAGTGCGAAAAACATATATACATATATGCAGGTTCTTCATTATTTAATTTCTTTAAATATAATACAGGGCGATAATATTTGGTGGCAACCATTTTGAAAAGTGATTCGCCGTTTATAGTGAATGGACGCAAAATCTCAAAACGAAAACAATAGTGCTTCAGGGACAAAGCCCCTTTGGACTAAAATATCTGAAAGGTTTCAGATTTTAAACTAAGTCCAACGGGGCGTTTTTTGTGTGTTACCTTTATTTCATAAATATCAGGTTCTACGTACTCAAGCCATAAAATTCAGTTCAACAGCCATATCGCAAAATAATATTAAAACGAGCTTATTTTTAGAATTTCCGATGCACAGTCTCGCGCGCTGGAGATTAAATTTTCTTCCCCCCCCTCGTACAGTATTGCCATTGTTGCTCACTTTTAAATCGTTTAGTTCGTTGAAGTTTCACAAGATATGAAATCGATCATAAAACAAATTCCAAATTGCGCTGGTTTCAAATTGCGTAAGTTTATATAGTTCTATATTTCTTAAGACGCCATTGAAATACTAGTTTAATCTTTAAATCCTTTTTTGATTTTAAATCCTTTTTTGATATCCTATGGATTTAACAATTTGGGAATTGCCCATGACGAAAAGTCGGCAGTAGAATTTTGGGTAAAGTGCAGAATCACTCACTGCTTGACGCGTTTTTAAGAATTGCACATACTCGGTATCCATGTGCACATCGATCTATTTTCACTTTAAAAAAATCCTATAATTGCACAAAAATGGCACTGCGCCCACCCTTGACTTTATTATTGTACTCATCGACCTATTTTCACTTAAAAAGTGAAAGAAAATTGACAAAAATCCAATTGTTTTTACCCTTGTAAAAAGCGGCAAACAAATAAGTGAGCGATTCTGCACTTCTGAATTCCGATTCTGAATATTTTCAAAGAAAAGGCATCGTTCATTATAGAAAATTACGTTTTAACAACCAACGAGATTAAATTATGCTTTAGCGATAAGTCGGTAGCGAAATAGCGATGCAGGCATCCATTCCGTTATGTTTAGCAATTTCTATATAAATTATAATAATGATCTGAAATAGTTATTGACTCTTGTGCTTCCATTCAATCATGTTTAGAATTTTTCATATAAATTATAATAATAAAAAAGTATTATATGAAATGAACCTTTCATCTAAATTAAAACATCCATCTTGGATAGTTATTTACTAGTATACTTCCTTTCTTGCAGCAATTATTAGGGTTGCCGCAATTCTTTTTGGCAGCAATGGTATCAACAACAGTTTGGCAATTTTTTACGGCCCTCGAAACCGAATAGTACCATATTGGGTATATTTAATATTATTTGAGTACAAAAAGAAACATAATAATAGGCTAAAGATTTAAAAAATATTAAACTCCTCCTGTGCTATAGCTGGAGGATTGAAGTAAAATAAATCTAAAGCATCTAAAGTTAAAATTAAATTGGAATTAAAGCAAGGCAATTCCTCAAAAATATTAATAACTAGCAGCTTCGCTGCCAGCCTTCGTCTGGCTTTTAAATGTACCGGAAAAATGGCTGAAGGAAACACCCAACGTTAAATTTAAAAACTGCGTAGAATTTTACACTGCAGAACAACTTCATAAAAAAAGTTATTACGTATAACAAAATTACAATGAAATAAGCAATATCCCTTAATACAAATATTAATTATCCTAATAAATAAGTTAACCAACTTCCCTTCGCAAAATCTTAAGAACCCAAATGGTATAAAGAAGGTTAAGAACTTTGTTTCCTAAAAAAAATCACTTTTCAATATCTTAAAAACAGTGAAAGGAGCAATAAATAACATAAAAGAATACAGAAAACAAAAAGTTCTGAAAAGCAAAATATAATTAATGATATTTTATCTTATATTTTCAAGATAAAAAAATTACAATGAAATAAGCTATATCTCTTAATACAAATATTATTTATTCTAATAAAAAAATTAACCAACTTTCCGTTAAAGAAAAAAAAAATCATGCAAAACTTTCCAATATCTTACAAACAGTGAAATAAGCAAAAAATAACATGAAAGAAACTCAAAAAAACAAAAAAGTCCGCGCACAATGTTGCTCTGCACAACAACTTTATAAAAAAAAAATCTGATGTGTACACCACATGACTTCCTTGTATTGGAATATTAAATTATACGCATATTTTCTTGCATTTCATTTAAACTTATTGGATTGAATTAAATCTACTTCACCGACAGCGCATAAACACAATAGAATAAATGCATTCTTTAAAATTCACTCTAGTATTTGTTTACCATAGCCACACTCTGGCGCTAGATTCACTTAACAGTATTAATAATTAGATAACAGTTAACTTATATAATTATTATATAACGGAAATTAAGTTAACTATTATACAATCCAATAATTATAATTATTCGTTCATATTATAACTCAAAAGGCACAAAATTTATATCATTTAATAAAAATTTATATCATTTAAAGAATAGAATTATCTAATCGTTGCCACATGTTCTATTCAAATACTATAATAAAGTTAGAATGAGGTATAAAAGAAATTATGCAAACAAAACAAAAAAAAAGAAACAATTTTTCACAGAGGATTGAGTACTACTCATTTAATTAATTAAGTTCTCCCTTCGCGAGAAGGCAAAAATACATAAAAACTCAAAATATCTGTATTAAAAATTACGAAGTAAATCTCAAACACTTATTTCCTCGAAAAAATTCCAGAAAGGATTAAGCATGATTTAATTGGCAATAATAAATGAATGCGTTATCTTTGTTGCTGCGAAGCTAAGTTTCTCTAGGTTGGCAACAAATCCACTAGTCTCCTGTTTCAAATGTAAACATCAATGGCCGCCATTAAAAACAGGCTTAGCGGCAATTAAACAACTTTAAAATTGCTGATAATTTTAAAAATATTGCACACAGATTTACTAAAGGCATAAAATCCTTAACCGGAAGATAAAAACAACATAATTCAATCATTTTTAAAGCAAAAAATGTACAATTTACAAACATATAAGAGTAAAGAAACTGAGATCACTGAGCCGGGTAACAGAATGGATATATATATACGTATGGTGCGGCCGATTGCAAACAAAATATGAGGTGCACATCTACATGTTATAGCAGTCCTATATACAAAATTTCAACGTTCTGAGGCTACTCGTTTTTGAGTTATGCGAGATACGTACGTACGCACGTACGTACATACGTTCGTACAGACGCCACGATAAATTCTCTTCAGAATTAATTTTAAAGCAGTTTTATAATTTTTTTGAAGGAAAAGAGTCTTTTATTCTGTCCTTACGTACAGATATCACGCAAAAACATCGTTAAATTGCATTCGATAGCGGTCAAAATGGATATTTTTGTTGAAATATGCTGCCTGAAACTTTTCGCGATTACAATACTTCCTTTTTACTTCGTACAAGGAAGTAAAAAAAATAATAAAAATGTATTATATATAAAAAAATTGACAACGAAATATGCCAATCTCTTAAAAACAGTGACATATGAAATACGATGAAAAATTGTTGCCAAACCCATATTTCTAAAAGAATGAAACTATTCAAAATGATGCGATTTCATCAAAAAATCTATCAACAACAATAAGAAAGGAAAATTGTTGCCAAAATCACATTTTTAAAGATGTGAGATGTGAGAAGTGTACTCGGAAGCTTCATTTAAAGCTTTTTTTTAAAATACAAAATATTATCATTTTTGCAAAATTCTTTTTGTAAAAGCAGTCGCAAGGATGTTTAACGTGTCCAAAAATCAAAGAAAAATAAACTGTACATTTTTAAAAATAAACGTTTTTAGAAAAAATCCCGTTGAAAGGTGTTAAACTCCCTTTGTTAAATAAATTCGTATTGAATCAATTTATTGAAACACGAAATTTATTTTAAGTTCGTAAAATAGCTAAGTGCCTACGTTTCATGACGATGGGAAAATGGTGTAGAGTAAAATCTCGCTTTCCTATTGCCCATTAAGTCTCAAAATGACGCTATTTCGTCACAAAACATAAAATAAAAAAAATTCTAATTTAAATTTCGAAAAAATCGCTTCGATGTGCACTGGCTCTTGTCTAGATGCACCTATGTACCAAATTTCGTAGCCGTGGGTCTATTAGCTTACGCGCAGCGCAAACGAAAAACACATACACACAGACAGACTCTTTTATTATATGTAGAGAAGATTGCAACCGTGTATGAGAGGTTTAACACAATATCTGCACATATGAAAATTAAAATAGTATATTTAGAGTTTAACGGAATTATATTTATTATGCTGTACTGTTTTACCTAAAACAAAGGAATTTAACTACTAGAACCTAGAACTAGATAGGTCAGTTCTTGTTGCGTAAATAATAACTTCGAAGAACGGTTAAAATACATTTTGCTTTTGAATTCATATGAATTCACAGATTGACACTCTTGGGCGTACAGGAAGCCAACACTTTTGGATTGAACTTAAATAGAAAATGAGAACTGAAAATAAAGCTTAAGGGGACGCATACACCTTAAACCCCTTATGATCTTCGAATATATGACTGTTGCAAGAATTGGGATATTTTATTCATTTTAAAAGCAATTACTTCCAACTTTTGACAGCTGACTACATAATATAGCTGCTTTCGAAACTAGTAACCAGAAAGTTTGTGTTGCTACAAATATTTTTGTAATTTAATCCTCTTTGTGACAAAATATTTCGCCATGTTTCCACCTTGCGCGCATGATATTTTAAAAATGGATGATGGTACACACTTGAAATTGGATGGAATTCTTTATACGGGCACTATTTTATAACGAAACCAACAATCTGATGAATATTTTAATATTGAAAAATTTTATGGACGAAAACATTAAAAATTTTGTTAATAAAATTTATTTTATAAGCTTAACTCAAAATAAAATAAAAATTGAACATGAAATTTTTAGAATTTTAGGTTCAGAGTAGTTTCTAAATGTTATAAAAGCTATATATTAAATATGGAATTCAATTATGAAACATAATGTTTTAAACCGTGCGCGCAAGTTGGAAACATGACGAAAAATTTTGTCACAAAGCGGATTAAATTATAAAAATATTTGTGGCAACACAAACTTTCTGATGACTATTTGAGAAAGCAGCTATATTATATATTCAGCTGTAAAAAGTTGCTGGTAATTGTTTTTAAAATAAATAAGTTATCCCAATTTTTGCAACAGTCACCTATTCGAACATCTTATGGGTTTTAAGGTGTATGAGTACCCTTAACAGCCTTAAACTGCGCAGAGATGTTACCGCGTAGTTGGCTTTTACCTAAACATCACTGACGTAGACTTACAGGCAATCTAATAAGTACGGCCGTAAACTGGTAAGCTTCTTAACTCGTAGCAACAATGTGAACGAAAAGTCCTCTCTCTCTCTCTGAGTGAAGAAGATCAGTAGATCGGCGTTCGTGGGAGAAGTTCCAGTGACCTTCCAGCGCTTTGCTTCCATAATTCTCGTTTCCCACTAGGGCGTCCATTAGAATCCGGATAAAACGGGAAAACGTCTATGTTGTAAGTAATAATTGGATAGGCGATTGTTTTTAATGGCAAGCATTGCTCTTGTCTAAGCAATTATACTGGAGGCATGTCATCTGGATAGAGTACGAGAAGCACAGCAATCACGTGAAGAAAAAACTACAGTCCAATTTTAGAAGGAGTATATGCATAAAAAATATGAAATGTCCTCTAAAATGTAGAGTAAGTCTTCAAAAATAAAAATAAGCAATTATGACGAACGTGATAAATATACCAGTCCCAAAAATGTTTTTACATTTACGAGTTCGCCTGGGATCGAACTCGCGATCTGGTCACCATTTAAAACAACTCGGCTGCCGACTCATGAGCCGAGCGGTAAAGTCGCTGAACACTGGTAGTTCGGTCCGAGGTGGAAATCCCACGAAGGGGCTGGCTGCATGGGCGTTTTCGTGGTTTTCCCCATGTGTAACGTGTATATGTTACGGTGAAACACCGAAATCTGGAGAATGTCGACATTCACATAGTCGCTTGGTGTATGTCTGAAATATTTTCCAAATACTCTTATTTCTGACTTACACAGGTGAATGTCGACATTCACCATGTGCCAATGGTGAATGTTGAACATATAAGAATATTATATTTCTTCTCCGTAATTCAGTCTCAAAAAATACGCACTTGAGATTTAAAATAAGAACTTAAGAATATAAGAACTTAAAACACACAATACATTGAAAATGAGAAAGGAAAATAATAAGTTAAAAGCTTAATAAATTATGTGATTCCAATCTTATTTATTGCAACAACATAAACTATTATGACACTTTGAATTGCACAAGAGGCCCTTGCTTTTACAACTGCATTTATTTGTGGAACACTTCCTTTTGCAATGACAGCACGTACATATACTCCTCTCCTTTCGACCTACACCAGAGCATATCTGTGATTGTCGACATACACCGGTTAGGGTCCGAATGTACAAGCATGTAGTGCAATATTCGATCTTTCACCGACGCGTTTGGTGAATGTTGACATTCTCCGGTGAAAGTCGACATTCTCCAATTTCGGTCTTTCACGGTAACATATACAAGACACTTCCTTAGAATGTCCTTCACGAAGGCATCATTCCCCTTAGGCAGATAGCCCTCGATACTTTGCCATAATCACACACACACACACACTCAAATGCTTCTAAAGCGAATTCGATCTTGTTTTGATTATTTTGGATATTTTCTAAGTGAAGTTCCTCAAGCCGCCCAGCCAGTATAGTGGTTTGTTCGAATCCCAGAGAAGGAATGAATGTTTGTAAATGTATAGCCGCATGATGGTACTCTAAATATGCGGCGGGCCGAAAGTCCTCTCGTGTGGTTTGGTGGAAAGGGAGAAGGATGGGAGATTCTCGGACCTGCCCCTCCGGAGTGCTCTCCATCAACAATGGGGGGGGGAGGGGAACTGAGCTAAATTGCACTGTCACCTGAATGGAGCTCAAGGCTGTTGCCAACGGCAGGTCTAATCTAGCGCTCCTTGCCACGAGAAGTTTTCATGGGATTGTACTGACTACGTCAGACAAGTGAGTATAAGCAGACACAACAACAGTACCTAAAACCTCAACTTAATTTGTACTTTCTTCCTTATTCTGCATAAAGAGGTGAACATGAAAACTTTTTCTGGTAGGAAAATAAGAAGGTACAGGAAAATCTCTCCTAAACTAAAAATAAGTATTGGAAAAATGATGAAAACCACTACAATGCTTTGGTGAAATATCCGTTAACTGCAAATGGAAAAAAATGGAAATCACTTTCAGTCGGAGGTTCGAAAACCTGAGTTAGTAATCATAATCGTAAATTCTTTGACACAATTCTGATTTCTTTTTAGACTGAAGAACAGTTCGCATTTATATCACTTCAAAATGAAAGCAAAGTATTTTTTTGCGTGTTTTATAATAATATGTTACTTGATGTGCTTAGGTTGCCCTGCTGAATTATATGGTGAGTTTTGCCAAAAAGAATGTCCACCGTGTTACAATGGAGGAGTATGCCACCACGAATACGGAGTGTGCGTTTGTCCTGCGGGATTTACAGGAACTAACTGCGAAATTGGTAAGTCGATTTTGAATCACGTAAATATACCACATACTAAAATCCAGCATAGGAAATTGGTAAAATGCTAAGCAGACGGGAAGCACTGTGATTTTTCAGGTCAAGCACCACTTTCTTCTTCATTTGTGGAATGTTTATTGATAATATTCTAATTCCTGTTAGTAAGCGTAACATTGTTTATCATTCTATTCCTTGGAATGCTCTAGTGTAGTATAATAACAACTTCCCTACTCCGGCCACTATGTTGAATTTATTTAGAATAACGGCTGAGGTGACCCTCGGAGAATCTTCCTCCGAGGACGGGTTAAGTGATAAGTGACGGTGGACGTGGGCACTGCCCCTTTGCCGTACAGATTAATCAGTACAGCACCACGTCCAACCTTATCTAAAAAGTTGGCTAGAGAGTAGCCTCATGAGAGCTATACATTTACATGTATACTATACTTTGTACTTGACATTACCCGGTAATGTCAAGTACAAAGTATAGTATACATGTAAATGTTACGGGTTAAGGACGAATTGCCCAGTATTTTAACTTAGTTAACTAGTTTATTTCGTCCTTTGATTGCTTCGTAGTTTTACCGATTTGCCAGTATTGGCAGTACGGTTTATAAGTTGAGTTTATGTTTATGTTAGGTTCCCCCTAGCTTTTTTGTGCCGTGTTCTAGAAATTTAAAAAATATTCGAGCCATTTCTCCCTTGAGTGCATTCAGAGAACGAGCTTCCCTAAGTTGTAAAAGGAACTCGTCTGTGTAGTGATTGTTGTCATTTTACTTACAAGCGCTCGCAAATTATCTATGGCGATCACGCCGAAACTTTCCCTTTTAAATGCTGAGCTTTATGGCAACCTAATGCATAAGCCGAACTACCACGAACTCACATTTTTTTTATTTTATTACTTGCTCCACCATTAGGCACTACACGGTAAGAGAGGAATGTCCCGTGGAGAACTTTTTAAGGCAAACTGGTTCGTATCCAGTTATACATGGGGAAAACCAAGAAAAGGGGCTCGCAACCAGCCCGTTCGGCGGTATCGAGCTTTTACTGGAAACCAAAATCTTATCATTACCACAAACCTAAGCGAAACTTGCAGTTGCTTTTGTAAAATTATTTTCATAAATTTAAGCAACAGCTTATTTTGCTTATCCAACACTCCTTTATTCCTCTCCGGCTAATGTAACAATTTTTAGTTTCATATGTTTGTCTCTCTCTCTTAAGCTGCCCATGATATCTAAAAGCAGAAGTTAAAAAAAATCTAATGTGTACACCACATGACTTCCTTGTACGGAATAAATAGAATAAATGCATTCTTTAAAATTCACTTTGTTTACCATAGCGACACTCTGGCGCTAGGTTGACTTAACAGTATTATATTTCGTTCATATTATAACTCAGAATGCACCAAATTTATATCATTTAAAGAATTATCGAATCGTTGCCACATGTTCTATTCAAATAAAGCTAGAACAATGTATAAAAGAAATTAAGCAAACAAAATAAAAAAGAAACATTTTTTCACAGATGATTGAGTATTTCTCATTCAATTAATTCAGTTTTCACTTCGCGACAAGGCAAAAATACATAAAAACTCAAAATATCTGTATTAAAAATTACGAAGTAAATCTTAAACACTTATTTCCTCGAAAAAATTCCAGGAAGGATCAAGCATGATTTAAATAATAAATGAAGGCGTTATCTTTGTTGTTGCGAAGCTAAGTTTCTCTAGATTGGCAACAAATCCGCTACTCAACTGTTTCAAATGTAAACAATGGCCGCCATCAAATGCAAGCCGCCATCAAATTAGGCTTAGCGGCACTTAAACAATTTTAAAATAGTTGATAATTCTAAAAATATCGCATACAGATTTACTAAAGGCATAAAACCCTTAACCGGAAGATAAAATCAACATAATTCAATCATTTTTAAAGCAAAAAATGTACAATTTACAAACATGTAAGAGTAAAGAAACTGAGATCACTGAGCCGGGTAACAGAGTGGATATATATATAAATAAATTTATATACGTTTGCGCGGCCGATTGCAACCAAAATACGAGGTGCACATCTACATGTTATAGCAGTCCTACATACAAAATTTCAACGTTCTGAGGCTACTCGTTTTTGAGTTATGCGAGATACGTACTTACGTTCGTACAGACGCCACGAAAAATTCTGTTCAGAATTAATTTTAAAGCAGTTTTATAATTTTTTTGGAGGAAAAGAGTCTTTTATTCTGTCCTTACATACAGATATCACGGAAATACATCGTTAAATTGGATTTGAAAGAGGTCAAAATGGGATATTTTCGTTGAAGTATGCTACCTGAAACTTTTCGCGATTACAATACTTCCTTTTTACTTCGTACAAGGAAGTAATAAAGGTCTTACGATATTGTTGCGTTCTTTCTTAATTCTGACACAAGTTGTTGCGTTTTTCTCTTCCTTCACGTTCGTACGGGGTTCGTGTGGGTTTGGAGTGAATAACGGCGACACTACTTGATGAAGTATTGAAACACACTTTACTTAGCCAATATTAATCAGGGCAGCTCCAAAAACACTTTTACAGTCGTCGAACAGTTATAAACAGGTTGACACGTTCAGCGACACAGCCTTCAGGTTCTCAGACTATCATGGTGAAGACAGCTTCACTGCAAAGCACGAGAATACAGCTCCCAACTCTGCTCGGGCGTTCTCGGAACTCCACGTACTCTCGAGGCTCTCCACGCTAGAACTCGCGATACACTCGAAGACACGCAGAGCACGGCTCCCGACTCTTCGGTTCACTCGTTTCTGGAGCTCATCATGCTCTTTCGACGATGCACTAACCGCGATACACTAAGAGACTCCTTCGGTGAACTTGACGACTCACTCGGCACTCGCTGCCCGGCTGTCAACTCGATCGACTCCGCAGCGATTGACCCGCTAGACGAGACAGCAACTCGATGCTGACTATCTCGCACTCTAGACGAGGCTCACACTATCGATACTCACTGACTGCGGACCAGCAGGGTTTATATAGCTTTCGTCTTGTGTTCGAGAACAATCTCGGCTAAACCGGTAAGAATTCGTTCCAGAAGGTTCCCAATCCGTCCATGTCATATCGCCAATTTTGTCGCCAAATGGGCGATTTCCCACCAAATGTGGCAACCTTGCCTTCTCTTGCCATTTTATGGCAACCCTAAAACTGCTTTGCGGGGAAGCCATCTCACCGCGCTTTGACATTTCGTAACAGTATGTTATGTTGCTTTCAGAAGAGATCTTGCCGCTGAATGAATCAAAAGCACCGACAGCAAATTTCAAATCTTTACAAACATTAATTAATGCCTACGTACAGACGCTGTTCGCACATTTTTTAGACGATTTTGGTAAGCGGTAATAAAAAATAGTTTGCTGCAAAAGAAGTAATTGCAATTGCACTATGTTTTTTAAAAGTCAAAATTATCGTCTGTGGCTTGAAAGTTTTGTTTTTATTCAAAATGGCAAATTTAACTAAGCAGTGGTTCGAAGGCTACATTTACGCTCTTTCCGAAGAGAAATAAGCATACTCCGTTATCCAAAAACGATGAGATCCAAAAACGTGAGAGTCATGGTTTTGTGATATCTAAAGCGTCGATAGGTAATATCATCAACAAGAAAAGAAAATAACGTCAAATTGGAGCCTCAAGTGGGACAAAAATTCTAAGCAAGTATTGAAGGAAACAACGGACATCTTCGACTATTGCAAAGGTACGTTGTTTAATGTTAAAAGAAAATCCCCCTAGTCAAAGGACAGTTGCAAAATCATTAAAATGTTCGGTGTACGCTGTAAACAAAATGATAAACGTTGATTTAAATCTTAAGAAAGCGAAAAAACGCACTGTGCATCGTCTTCTTCCAAAGCATATCGCTCAACGCAGGACACGCTGCAGAATTCTATATGAGAAACACTTATCCAAAGAAAAATGGAAAACAATTGTCACAATAGATGAAGCATGGGTGTATTTAACTGATTGTAACAAAAAAAAAAAAAAAAAAAAAAAAAAAAAAAAAAAAAAAAGCTATTTATTTTCATAAAAGGGGAGAAAAAAATTTAAGTACATGGTTCAAAGAATCGAAAGAAAGTTTTTCTAAAGGATTCATGATTGTTGCTGGTTTTTCTTATAATAGTAAGTAATAAAAATAAAGAGAGTGCGAAAAAATGTCAAGATTAACTCCAAATACTATCAAGAACATATTTTATCGCCAATTTTTCTGAATGAAATACCATCGCTTTAGGCACAGTGCCATCCATCTGTGAGACTCCATCAGGACAAAGCTAGCAGTCACACATCAAAATCCACTGTAAATTTCCTAAAAGAAATGGAGCAAAAAACTGGTACCTTCACTGATATCCCTACTAAATCTCCCGATGTGTCACCTATGGATTTTTGTGCTTTCAGACTTTTAAAAACTGCATTATCCAAACGTTGTCCCCAAACCCTAACAGGACTCTGGAAAGCTGTTCGGGAGGAACCACTTCAAAAGTATTAATATCCTGAAAATTGCGGTGTCGAAAGGTAGCTCAGAATAAGGAATGTCAAATAGAACATTTAAAACACAAGAATTTTATGTAATTTAGTTTTGTGAATACAATACACATCGTCTAAAAATGTGTGAACAGCCACTGCAATGTCATGTAATTTTTGGGTTGTTCGAACTTTGTAGTAAAACAAAAAAAATCATTTCAGCTTGTGGAGGTAATCGCTTCGGAGCTCACTGCAACAAATTCTGTTCACCTCCCGAAAACACCGGAAACACAAGCGACGCATGCGCTTTATATCTTTTCTGCAAGCCGGATCCATACGGATGCTCTTGTGCACCCGGATTCAAAGGCCCGGAATGCAAGGAACGTGAGTATCCCAGTAGCTATTTATATTGCTTGGTAATCTACACTTTAGATAGTCATTGCCTTATCTAGAAAATTATACATCATGGTTTATCAAATCAAAAAAAGTTTCTTTCGCTTATATAAAAGAATGAAATTTTATAACCAGAGAACTAAGTTATTTCAGAGAACTTCTCTCATTGGCTTTAGTTCGCTACTGTGCAAGCACGTAAATAAACTAAAGCTGGTGAATGAGATATGTTTGGGAGTTGGAAGCCAAAAATCTTTAAAAAAATAGTGATTTGGGATTTCGCATTTTCAAATTCTCTAAACTTTTATCTTCCTAAAAATACGAATACCTTTAAAGCTTTGAACTCTTTAAAACAGCTTTAACGCTTTGTAGGCCAAAATGCCCAGGATGGCCTCACAGTCCAACGACCACAACCACCCGAAAGGACCGAGATTACGATACTGTTATCATTTTCGCCGCATTCTAGGCGTTTACTTCCATGCCTCTTGAATTAATTTACACTTTTTCGTTGCCCTGCGTTGGCAACACACTTTGAATTTGCCGTCGATAGAATTTCCTCGCTACAATGTAGCTGATCTGTAACTGCTCTAATACTTATTTTAGAACTTAACTGTGTTATTGGATTATTACCAGATGTTTACGCATAGATACTTTATTATTATATGTTTACAATGTGGTTTGCATAAACTGAGAGTAGTTGAATTTGTTTATTTCAAAGCGAAACTACACTTTTGATTTCGTCGCCATTTAAATATAGGAACGTAAACACTAGAGGTTTGAAAATAAAGAGGAGTGAGTCTTTCTAAGGGTACAATTTCGAATTTCGTTTTCTCTACGAGTATATCTCGTTCATGAGGACACACGGCATTTTTCAAATCGACGAGTCTGCCTCGGAGGGAAAAGGTGAAGTGATCAAACAAGGAAATTTCCAGCATGAACAGAGAAGCATTCACTTATTTCTAGATCAGCTCGTTTCAGTTTTTAGCTACACATTCTTGTATAATATCAGTATTTCTGTGCTAGTTTCTTTTATTTTTATCTATTCAGATTGTGAGAGAGGATGGTATGGTGCTGACTGCAGACAGTCATGCCACTGCGCATTTGGAGGCAGAGTTTGTAATCGAATCACCGGCGCTTGTGAGGGTGGTTGCGCCACAGGGTGGAGCGGAAGCTCTTGTCAAATAAGAGGTAAGTGCATATCTGTTCTGTAAATGCCATGTAAGTCCAACTGTATCTCTTTTAGTTTGACGTAGGTATGGTATGGTGATAGATAATTATAAAACCATTATACGATTAATTGCTTCGTGAAAAAATGCCCTTGGACACATGCTTTAATTAAAAAAAAAGTAAGCCTTTCTCATTGCGACAATTTTATTCACGTAATCATCTTCATAAAGTTGCTTAAAAGTTACGATTTTACGATTTAGTAGGATGGCAGTAAACATGAGATGGATGTTTATATATATATATATATTTGTAATAATAAAATTCCATAGTCAAGAATACACTTAAAATTCTAATTGTATGTTATTTTCATTTTTAATGGCGACGGTCTCTTATTTGAAAGTACGTGGAATTAAATCCACAGCCCCGTAGTCAAGTTTTTTTCCCGCCTTTTCTACACGTACAGTTATAGAATGTTCTGGAGATATTTAAAGCGAACTGGTATGGCTGACGAGGCTGACGTCATTTCTTTGAAGCTCCGCCTTTCCAGAGGCTATAAAAGGACTCGCAAAGGAATATCGGGGTCTTTTTCTTTAATGTAACGATGCAGTAAACTTCATACAAAAAGTTATTAGTAATTCTTTTTTATTTACTCCGGAAATATTATTTTTGTAACTGCTATTTCTCCTGACCAATAATAAATGGATCCTGTTTTTTAAACTTATCGTCTGATAATTTAAGCTCCGACTAGATCTGTATTTCTTCACCAATCTATTTATTCCGGACAAAAGCTGGTACATCACATATATATGTATGATATGATTTAGTTCCTTGCAGTAATTTGATGAGAGATGAGTGCCTGACTAGAGAAGACATTATTTTGCAGTCGCGAGTTGACTGAGGTTAGATCATCACTAAAAATATCAGTTACGTAGTAGATGAGAACTTTTGAAGAATCACAAAATTTACTTGATAAATCAAATATCTCTTTATTTCTTATTGATTGCTCTATGGCATGACACATCACAATGGCGCCTATCTGCACCCCACAATTTAGATGACGACGTGTCACATTTTTAACTCAAAGCGTTGTTCAAAGAATACCAAAACGCAACAGACAACCTTTCATTCAAACGACCACAACCGTCCGAAACGGCCGAATTTACGATGTTGTTTTCTTCCCTTCAACTAAGTTATGCGGGAGCATGTACAGTTCCCCCAAAGGCAGTTTACTGCAGACAGGACAGGAGAAAAGTGTAAGGGGCACCATTACGTCGCCATAGGCAGAAGTGGTATTGCCCCTGTACACTAACTATCCAGAGGAGCCCCGCGTCGGCATTTATTGAAAAATCAAAAGGTGGTACATACATTCATTATACATACATGCGTAAAAACATACATTTTTTATACATAAATTTGACATGTAACATTTGAAATTTAACATTTACCATACATTTTATATACTAGGCATTGTAACTTTATGAGTTTTTAGGCGAATCCCAGAGTTTTTAAGGTACACAGTTCATTTGGTTTGTAAGGATATTCGAATGGTATTAAGTTCATTGAGTTCATATAGTTCATAGAGATCATGGCGTTCATAGAGATCATGGCGTCAAAGAGTTTGTAAGAGAAACAGTTCTGAGTTATACAGACAGTACATATATTTATAGGAAATGTCGTTGGCACGGTTCACGTGGAGCTTATATAGTTTATAAGGTGCACAGTTCTCATGATCGATTGACCACACTGTTGTTATGGTTTGATGAGTGTACAGGGTGTATCACTCATGGTTTGATTCTGTAGTATGCATGGTGCATTGATCATAGTTTGCTAGGTGCACGCAGTACACCTGAGTCACTATTAGTTGTCTCTTGTATAATGGTCTTTATTGTTACATATATTATGCTTTTGCAATTATTGCTTATATAGCATATATGGGAGCACCCCGTTCCTTTCGGCTGGGTTTCTTTGGATCACTAGGTTTTTACAGAGCACTGAGAACACTGATTTTTACGAAGTACTTTTTGGAGCACTGAGTTTCTTTGGAGCGCTGAATTTTACGGGTGGCAAAGGTCGAGCCCATGCCGGTGGAGCACGTCGATGATAGCTTTTATCTTGTTATACACTCTGGTGTGCTGTATGAGGGAGATCTGTACATCTGCTGGGTAGCTTGCCCTAAAAAGATTTACTTGTGGTTTCTCATTCTATTTGTTAGGAAGTAGAAAGGATGTTATTTCAAATCTTCACAGTTCGCCAGCGGCCGAGCGGTAAAGTCGTTTAACACTGGTAGTTCGGTCAGATGTTCGAATCCCGCGAACGGGCTGGCTAGCTACATGGGCGTTTTCGTGGTTTTTCCCATGTGTAACGCGGATACGTGCCAGTTTGCCTTAGAAAGTCCTCCACGAAGGCATTCCTCAGGCAAATAACCCTCTGGACTTTCCTGTAATTATATAAACAAAACCAAACTTAGAGTTCATGAATGGAGAGTGGAGAAAACTTGTATGAATCTCAAAAGTCATTTCGGGAGCTTCAGTATTTCAAGCATACAGATTCTTGGCTTTGGTGTTTCAAAGTGTTAATAGAAGCAGCTAAGCAAGAGACTAAGCTAGCAAGCGTAGAGAAAAAGTGTTGTTGGTTTGCAGCGGTATTTATACCAAAATGTTTCGTTAATATTATTGGCAAAAACTTATAGGTAACCCAGAAATTTAAGATGACATAATGCGGAATTAGTTTTCAGATGTGGCGCAGTTTCGAGAAATTTATTTCTAGAAAGGAAATACCCGAATTAAAAATGAGGAACTGAGAGGCTTTTTAAGTTACAATTTTGACTTGTATATTTTGTATGTTACAGACACATACATAGTATATAAAAATATGTAAGATACAACAAAATATGATTGGCGATCTCAAAATTAACTCTTCTAGATTTGGTGTTCTTCTCCCTAAGTTCATCTGTTTTCCCAAATTCGAGATCTTTCTATGTTACATAACACTGCTTGAAAAAGGTAACTAAAACTAAAATTAATCAATCATAACTTCTCTCTACAATTGCATCTACTTAATATATATACTCTTTGCAAAACAAATACGTCATTCCTTTTTCCAGCTTCTATCCTGAAAACAACTCTGCCCCGCTTATGCTGTCCTGTTCAAAATACTTACGCCATAATTTTAAAGCACTTGCACAAGGAAATAATTGTGTTCTCACTATGATTTAAAATTACATTGTCCACGAAGAAAGATTCTAATGTGTGTAAAAATAAAGAGGGTAATTAGCTGAATTTTGGATTGTGTCAACATCTTCTTCCTGCCTTTCTACACTCGACTATGGAAAGCTGTTAAAAGTTCCAGTGGCGTCTACGCACTTAAAACATTACATATTGTTACGAAATGTACAGGTGAGCTAAGATGGCTTCCCCTCAAAGCAGTTTTAGGGTTGCCATAAAATGGCAAAGGAAGGCAGCGTTGCTACATTTGGCGAGAAATCGCCCATTTGGTGACATTTTGCGACAAAATCGGCGATATGCCATGGACGGATGGAACGAATTCTTACCGGTTTAGCCCAGGATGTTCTCGAACACCAGGCAAAAGCTATATGAACCCTGCTGGTACGCGGAGAGTAGTAGTATTGAGAGTGCGTCTCGACTAGCGAGTCAGTCCGTGCGCAGTCGATCGAGTTGACAGCCGGGCAGCGAGTGCCGACTGGGTCGTCGTGTGCACCGAAGGAGTCTCTTAGTGTATCGCGGTCGGTGCATCGTCGAGAGAGCGTGTTGAGCTCCGGGAACGACTGAACCGAAGAGTCAGGAGCAGTGCTCTGTATGTCGTCGAGTGCATCGCGAGTTGTAGCGTGAAGAGTCTCGAGAGTACGTAGAGTTCCGAGAATGACCAAGCAGAGTCAGAAGCTGTATTCCGGTGTTTTGCCGTGAAGCTTGTCTCCCCCGTGATAGGCTGATAACCTGGAGGCTGTGTCGCTGTTTATAGTCAGCGTGCTTAGAGTAGTTCATCGACGACTGTAAAAACGTGCTTGGAGCTGTCCTCACAATACTGGCCAATAAAGTATGTTTCGATACTTCATCAAGTAGTATTGTCATTATTCACTTCAAATCCACACGAACCCCGTACGAACGGAAGGAAGAAAATAACGTAGAAACTTGTGTCAGGAGAGAAAAAAGCGCAACAATATATATAAACATCCGTCTCATTTATATTACCATCCACATGAATCATGAAAAGCGTAACTTTTAAAAATACATACATATCAGTTTATCAAACCGAAATATAAAGCAAAATCTTCCTTTAAACATTCAAAACCATCTCGCACATGTGATTAAAATTCCTGAAGTCTGTGTGAAAATGTTATTGAAGATACATGCATGCATGTTACATCTTTGAATGCAAATCACAAAAACATACTGCTCATTTAATTAAAGAGGGGTGTCAAACTGGCGGAAAGCAGACCGCATGCCGTCCTCGAAGCAATTTAATGCGCCCCCCCCAGAGAATCCATTTCATTTCTTTATTTGTTGCAAATACGGTGTTATTTCCGAGATTTTAGTTATTTGCGATTTGAATTTAGTATATTATTTTCACTTACATTAACCATTTCCGGCACGCTACCTTTTAAAGTTGGAGTTTTGATTAAAAAAAAATGTAGACAGTCTAATTAGGCCTAGAGGAGTACACAAGTAAAATTTTCTGAAGATAATACTTATCTTTTAATTCTGTCGGTGTGTCCAAAGTGGGCACACTGGTTGAAAACAGAACTTCAAAAAGAGTGCTGAAACGAGCATTGTTGTCCATGAAATGACCGATGAGATGCAGAGAAACAAAGAATACAGACTCTCAGTTGTCCTAGATTATCGGTGAGCCCGATCTGGGCACACCTAGGTATCACCGTTTGATTTTAGGCAAGATTTCAAGGTGGAAATTTAAAACTAATATGGAATAAGGAGATTAGCATACAGCCAAATAAATAACATACAAATTTCTTTTCAAACAATTCCTTTTATACCCTAAAAAAAATC